GTGAGCTACTGTACCCAAGCATGTGCATGAGAACACACACACACACACACACACACACACAAATAAATAAATAAATAAAAGAATAACTTTGTAAGTCTCCTCCAGCCATGTTACTGGAAGGGAATTTTTTATCTCTGGAAATGCAGGTAATGAACTCTAGAGTGGCCCAAATACAGACTGCACTGAACTGAACCGAATCTCTCACTCTCTGAAACACTCTCTTTCATCTGTTCTACTGGCTTTTCCTTCTCACACATCCATAATGAACCCAATCCTTTCAAGTTTTCCCTCATTAGCTCTGTGTCTCATTTTTTGCAGAAACTGAGTCTAAGAAGAAATGGGCCAGGGGTCCATGCAGACATGTAAGAAAGGCTGACAACTCAAGCCAGATTCATGTCCTGCCCTGTAGAGCTGCCCTTCTCTGCAGCCCCTCATCATTCCCAGAAACCCAAGGAATAAGCATAGCTTTGTTTGATACACTTGTGCTAGGAACTCTGAGAACCAGGGATATGTTAAAATGTTCACAGGAGGAATAGTGCCCTGTGGACATTTGGCAGGAGCCTAGCAAAGCAGCAATGAGCCTTCGGACTTCTGGGCAGCTATCCCAAGGTATGAGGGCGTGAAGCCCGGAAAGCAAGTGTCGGGGGCTTTCTTCTCTTACCAAAGGCAATAATGGTTTCACCTGGTTACACAGTCCCTTAAGGCAGCTATGTTTTCTGATCACTTGGGACAACCAGATCTTATAACCTTTACTGAACTTGCCCAGGTACAAAAAGTGATTGGTTGATTGATTGATTATCGTTTTGCCTAGTGTCTGAGTCATGTTCTATGTAGTCAGCCAGATACTTCAGCTTGGGCTTGGGCTTTTGGTCTAAAGTCACCTCTCATCAAGGATCCTGAAACTGTACTCTCAGCCAAGTCTTTTAAAATATATTTTGATTTATTCTTTAAGAATTTCATAAATGTTTAGCAATTGGCCAAATGCAGCCCTTACTCCATCTCCTCCAACTCCCACCAGAACCACACCACCATTTCTTTCTCTTAACTTCAGGCATTCTCTTTTTTTACCTACTAAGTTTATTTAGTGCTGCCAGCAAGTACATGGATGGAGGGCTATCCACTGGAGCATGGTCAACCTGACAGGGGTCACCTCCCCCAGAGAAAACTGACTCTCTCTCCCCCCAGCAGTAACCACTAATAGTTCCCTAGCTGGGATGGAGCTTTAAGAGCCCCTCTTCCGGCTATGCTAGACTTCTGACTGGCTTCATTTGTGCAGATCTTGTGCCTGCAACCTTAGCTGCTGTGCAACTCCACGGCTTATCCTAATACACAGATCTACGGGAACAAAGCTAGAGAATGGAATGTTCTGGATAAGCCTAGAGGCAGGACATATGTTCAGTTTCATCACAACCAGAGGAAAGGCTATGCTAAGGTCTTCAATTCCTGTGAGTTAAAAACAACGTTATGAAGAAGCAATGAAGGAAGCCATATTTCCTCTTATTCACAGACATCCCACACCTGGTACTCTGTGGGACTGGAGCCCTAGAGCAGTCCCACCAAGTGACTCTTTTTTGTTCGTTGGTTTGTTTATTTGTTTGTTTTCAAGACAGGGTTTCACTGTGGCTTTGGAGTCTGTCCTGGCACTCACTGGCTGGCTTCGAACTAACAGAGATCGCCTGCCTCTGCCTCCTGAGTGCTGGGATTAAAGGGGTGGGCCACCAACGCCCCCAAGTGACTCTTTAATACAGTTCCTCATGTTTTGCTCACTCCCAACCATAAAATTATTTTCATTGCTACTTCATCACTGTAATTTTGCTACTGTTATGAATCGTAATGTAAATATTTGTGTTTTCCAATGGCCTTAAGCGACCCCCCATGAAAGGGTCATTTGACCCCCCACCCAATGGGGTCACAACACACATATAGGGAACCACTTCTCAAGGTGGTGGCTAGTCTGGGTAGTTCATTGCCTTTTTTGCTAACTGATAAATCCATAAAAATCTCATTATGGCCGGGCGTTGGTGGCACAGTCCTTTATTCCCAGCACTCGGGAGGCAGAGGCAGGTGGATCTCTGTGAGTTCGAGACCAGCCTGGTCTACGAGAGCTAGTTCCAGGACAGCCTCCAAAGCCACAGAAAAACCCTGTCTCGAAAAACAAAAACAAACAAACAAACAAAAAAATCTCATTATGTGCTAGTGAATACCTGTAATCCTAGCACTAAAAATGTCAAGACAGAAGAATTAAGAGTTTAAGGCCAGCCTAGGTACATTGTAAAACCTGCCCCCCCCCAAATGAACTAAAACTTACATAATAAAAGAGGACTCACAGACATCTTGCAATGTTTAAGTCAGATTAAATATTCAAATTCACAAACATTTATGAAAACTTTGTTTCATTTTGCTTGAATTCACTGAAACTGGCCTCAAACTCTGGATCCTTCTTCCTCCATGGTCTGAATGCTGGGGTTATAGGCAAGAACCATCATACCCAGCTGATGAAAGCCTTCTTCCAGCTTTTTTTTTTTATTTAGTATGGATACAACATTCTGCTTCCATGTATATCTACGCATCATAAGAGGGCACCAGATCTCATAACAGATGATTGTGAGCCACCATATGGTTGCTGGGAATTGAACTCAGGACCACTGGAAGAGCAGCCAGTGCTCTCTGAGCCATCTCTCCAGCCCCTTTCTTCCAGCTTTTTAAAATGTACAGTGCATTATTGTTATCTCTAGTCAACCTAGCTTTGGATACCTCACCAGAACTTCTGTCTGTCTAACCAGTGGAGCGGGGCATGGGGCGGGGAGGGGATGTCCCACAGCTCTGTTTACTCTCCCTCCTCTGATAACCACTATTCTGCTCTCATTTTTTAGACCCCAAGATCATGCGATACCCCTCTGTCTTAGTTCACTGTATATCATCTCCAGTCCCATTGGTGTTCGGGTGATTAATATTAAATATAGGTGCTCAATTGTCTTTGTCCAGTCATCAGTTGATAGACATACAGGTTGTTTCAATTTCTTGGATGTTTTGAAGAATTTTCACAACTAATACAGAAGTTTGGATGACTCTTTGACATGCTGGTTTCATTTCCTTTTAATAAACCCCCACTAGCAGCATTTCTGGATCGTGAAGTAATTCTCCTTTAATGTCTGTAAGACCCTCCATGCTATTGCCCACAATGGTTCTACTAATTTACATCCCAACCAATATTGTATCCTTTTTTTCATACCCTCCCCAACTTTTGTTATCTTTAGTCTCTCTATCATATAGCCCATTCTTACCGGAGCCAGATATGTAACTCCAGTTTCCATTTGTATTAGTGATGCTGAGAATTTTTTTTTATACAAAGCATCTTTTCTTTCATTCTCAGGAAGGTGGTCTGGCATGTGGATATCTATTCAAATCAAAGACATGATTTTAGGTCTATTGACTAACAAATACCACATGTAGCACACAGTTCTGTTAGTGCTTGCTTCCCCTAGGCAAGCCCTTTCAACCCCTCTGAGCCTTAATTTTCCATCTCTAACAGAATGGCCAGGCTCCTTTCCAGTATTTATGATAGCAGATGCTTAGGATGAGACTGAAGCTCTGTGAGACCACAAATCCAATGAAAGATGCCCTAAAGGCATCTCATGGCAAAGAATCCTTCTTTGGGAGAGACATCTCACCACTGGCAACCAAAACATGTCAATGCATAACCCACTATCATGGTCTCAACCTGAGTTTAACTCAAAATAGAGAACAGAGCAAAACTCTCTCAGCAGTTTTCCTTTACCAAGAAGGCCTTTGGAGGTCTCTGAAGGAGAAAGGAAGATAGCTACTACAGTGGATTATTTAATAATAATAATGAGTACTTCCAGTATACCAGCAGGAATGCCAGCAAGATGGCTGAGCTGGGAAAGTACTAACAGTACAAGCCTCATAACTAGAGTTTGATTCCTAGAACTCAAATAAAGGTAGAAGGAGACAATCCCACAAAGCTGTTCATTGACCTCCACAAGCATGCTGAACACACACACACACACACACACACACACACACACACACACACACACACACAATGCATGTGGTTTTGGAGAAGATGAAACTGGAGTTGATATGCTAAATAAAGTCTTCAAGAGAATATGCCTTCAAAGCAGAGTGTAACCAGTAAGACTACGCTCTGCTACATCTTACAGATTGCAGTGTGTGGGCCACTTGACCACGAGCCTACTTCAAAGAGGATAATAAAATCAGTTATTATCAACCACCCATCACTGGCCCCAAGCAGTGCAAGCCTAATAGCTCCTTTCAAGGGCCACACTTTAGCTCCAGGGAAGTATGGTTCAGTTCACTTCTAAGTCTAGGCATCCAACCGTGAACACAGCACAGAACTGGCCAGGGAGTTTCTCCCTGACCCCTGAGGCCCTCACACTGTGATTGGTATCTCAAGCCAACCATCTGGAAAAGGAAGATCATCTGGGGACTTTTCTCCATCAGCCTCTGGCCAGGTAAGTGAGGACACTTCCCTTCTTCACTCCCTGAGTAATCAATCCCTCTACTCTTAGTCAATCCATGTTGCCATGTTAAGACCCTTTTGTTTCTTGGAACCCCGTGAGCACCCCTTACCTGTATCCTACCCAGCCTTGAATTGCCTGTGCTCTGTAATAGTGTTTGTGGACCCTGGGCTTTCAAATGTGACTTGAAGGTAAATGATGTAGCCATTTTCTCCTGAAATTTCAAAAGGTGTGAGGGAAGGTACTTAGGTCTGATGCAGGGGTGACCTGCTCTGCTGGTGGAGACACTCTGCCCTTAGCTGAGTACCTTCCTATCATATGGTTTGCAGAAATGAATGTAGTGTTGAATGGCACAGAGTCTCCTCTTCTTCTAAACCTATAGAAGCTGTGAGCTCCCTGGAAGAGTGAGCCAGAATTCAGCCCCACCTAACCCAGATATCTCTATACAGGAAGCTCCCAGACAGCTATCTGAGCAGTTTTGGCTCTGCATCCTCCACAGTCATGCACCTGCATCCTTCAGGCATTCTGTTCTTCCTGGCGATCTCTTTGCCTGCAGGTAGGAGGTGAACTGTGGGTCTGGATATGAAAAAGTCTCCTAAGGGCTCAGATACTAAAATTAAAATAAGTAAACAAACAATGTAACCCCAGAATGGGAAGTTTCACCCATAGGAGATGGGTTGGTGGGTTAGGGCTAGGATATGGGCAAGGGGTATTAAGGTATCATTCTCTATATTAGTTATAGATCCTCAGGATCTTTAAAGAGAGGAGCCCATTTCATGACGAGTGCACCCCTATTCAGGCAATAAATTCCTATTTCCTCTAAATCATGTTTTTGTTTGCTTGTTTGTTTGTTGATACAGGATCTCTCTATGTAGCTCTGGTTGTTTTGGAACTCGATCTGTGTAGATTACGCTGGCCTTGAGCTTACAGAGATCCACCTGCCTCTGCCTCTAGAGTGCTGGGATTAAAGGCGTGGGCCACCATGCCCAGCTTTTCTTGGACCTAGACTCTACAGTCTCACTGACATCTTATGGGAAGTAAGGGCATGAGTCCCAGAAGGGGAATCAACAGATACCAAACCCTCCACCAGAAAGAGAAAACAAGACTGGCTTTGCTCCTAGCCTCCTGAACACTGATTTGTCTTTTTCTTTATTCCTTCAGCTAACTGTGCCATCGGGAATGACGGTGTAGAGTTTGAAACATGTGTTGCAGACAAAGGCGTTTGTTTCTTTGGTTGTAGGCCAGGATGGATTTGGATTGGCTACTGTAACAACCTAATGTCCTGTTGTAAAAAGGACAAGTTATATGCACCTCCTCAATCCAAAGGTATATAACCTATACTTCATGGCTCCAATTAAAAGGTTCTGTGAAAGATTAAAAGTTCCTAATCTGTCTTCAAGGTCCAAGAGTTCACTAAGAGAGACTGTGGGTGGCAGATGGGGAGCACACTGGCTGATCTGCTGTGTATTGTCAGGATTCCAGATGTGCTTTGTAAAGAAGCACTGCAGTGAACAGCACTTCCTGGTCTTTCTTTATTGTCTTAAATCATAAATTCCTTCTTGGGATTGGAGAGATGATGACTCAGTGGTTAAGACCATCAGCTGCTCTTCCAGAGGACCTGGGCTTGATTTCTAGCATCACAACCATCTGTAACTTCAGTTCCAAGGGAACTGATACTCTCTTCTGGCCTCTACATAAACTTCACAAGCATGTGAAGTTAGACAGCACATACATAAAATTCAATTAAATTTAAACAAAAATAATAAAATAGACTCAACTGCTCCATATAAGTCCACAGGCCCAAGGAAATGACACTCTGAGTGCAGAAACAAAGGCTGCCATGATGAGATCAGTCTTTAAACTGTTTTGCATATATCAAACTACTTAATCCTCAAAACAAAAATCTGATTTCTTCAAATGATGATTTTTTTTCCAAGATCACACAAGTATGAAATTAGTTTGTCCTGGATTTGAACTCAGTTCATCTTCATTTTTTTCTTCTTGTTATCATCATCATTTGTTATTATTTTTATTTCCCCAGGGAAGAGCACACCAATTGGTTACCCAACACCAAATGGTCAGCCCTCAAAAACATACGCATACAAGTAATATACAAACTAAACAAATGTATTTACTTATTTGGGAACACACACACACACACACACACACACACACAATCCAGTCTATTGTGATTGAGTCCACTTTTGGTTGCACTGAACTGCTTCTCACTTGGGAAGTACAGGAGTTTGGCTGGGCTGTAGTTTCAGAGTCTAGAGTGCTAACCATTACACCATGGAACCAACTTTGTAGTTTCAATGAGAAATCATGAATCCAACCTGATCTTCTGAAGGCTCTGGGCCATAAACTGATCTCAAGTTCCATTCCTGGCTCAACACAGGCCCTGACCTTCAGTTCCCACATACCTGCCATCACTATTTTTGCCCATGCATCATCACACTCACGTTCAGGATGAAGCTGTCATCTACACAGCTGTGTTGTGCCAGGGTGCTTCCTTACCATCCATTGCCATGTGCCCCTCCCCAGGAGGGACAGAACCATGGGCTCTATCAAGATCCTTGTAATTCACTGCAGAGCAATAAGAATGGTTGGCAGCCTCATCTCACAAGTGCTCTTTCCCAAAACTGTGGCCATAAAAACACTATTGGTACAGCAAGAAGGGCCCACCTGCCCACAGATCTTCAGCTTCTGGTCCTCAAACTTCCTAAAGGTCATGATGGTTCAAGCAGCTAGACTCTAATGACATGATGCTTTGGTTAGCCCTTTGGAGCCTCCTCCCAGAAGCATCTATAGTGTGTGGCAACATGTATTGGTTCCTTAAAGCCTATCATCCCCTTAGCAAAAGAAAGGAGGGTAGTGGTACAAAAATTTATAAAATAGCCAGGCGGTGGTGGTGCACGCCTTTAATCCCAGCATTCGGGAGGCAGAGGCAGGTGGATCTCTGTGAATTGGAGACCAGACTGGTCTACAAGAGCTAGTTCCAGGACAGCCATCAAAGCCACAGAGAAACCCTGTCTCGAAAAACCAAAAAAAAAAATTATAAAATAATGTAATAAAATTAACATAAAATTGAAAATCAAGCCAGGCATAGTGGCACACACCTGTAATCCAGCAGAGGCAGGGTAACCAGAAGTCCAAGGACAACCTGGGTATATGACATTCTGTCTGGGAAAAATAAAAATATTAAATAATAATGAAAAGTAGGTAACAGAAAAGCAAAAAAAAAAAAAAAAAAAAAAAAAAAAAAAAAAAAAAAAAAACTCCTCAGATTTCACATTTTTCTTATGGTCCCCAAGGCTGTAATTATATTGACCAATAACACAACTTTGAGAGTTAAGTGCAAACTAAGGACACAGAATTCTCTCCAGCAGAATACAAAGAGGACTCAGATCTTCAAAACTATGATTCTCAATGTGTGCTTCAGCATGAGAGCACTTGTCTGTCAAGTACAAGAGTCAGGTTCAATCCAGGACAGCTGGTTTGTTGCCTGTGTGGAGCCCTGGAGTGCCTTCCAGGTTCATCTCTTCCCTTGATGAATGAGTTTGATGGATACCAATCCATACAAACACCAAAGTCACATCTTCCCACAAGTCCTGCCATTCTGAAATACTAATGGCCAAGACTCTCTTCCAGTTCCTGGCTTGTATAGAGGCTGCATGAAGCATGTTTTATAGATTGTGACTCCTTCTTGCCACCATGTGGCAGCCGTCATCCATTTTACTCCCTCACAGTCTTTGCACATCAGCTTCCAGTCTGTGGTGGGCATTCTGGAGAAATCCAAGGCTTTTCTAAGGTTTTCACTGTCAGTTTCTTCCTTTCCTTGGTCAAGGGTAGCACAGTGGTAGGCATGCAGTCAGAATTCAATAACAAGACTAGACTTTGTTAGAGAAAGTTCTAGAGACTCATTGCATAACCATGCATACACTTAAAATGGCACTGGATTGTATAATTAAAAGGAATTGGGGGGGAGCCTAGCAATATGTCTCGTTGGGTAAAGGCACTTGCTGCTATATCTGACTACCTGAGCTTGATCCCCCAAACCCACATGGTAGAAAGAGAGGGCATTACACATGCACTAGCAGGTGTAAACACACAACACACCCATATACACAAGTCCCAACTGGCTGAAGACCATTGAAAAGATGATCAGAGAGGGGGGAGACTTGTCAATCACACTTCTGGTGATGGACCATAATTAAAAATTGTTTTATCTTTTTCAATCTTCATTATTTGGGAAAAAGGACACATGCCAACTTGGGTAAGACTAAAAATAACATAGATCAAAATTCAATGCAATCTGCTGGTGACTCCCCATCTTATACCTGCCTTTGAAAGCTCTGGGCTTCCCGAAGCCCTGCAGACTTGGACAAATAAAAACTATCAGGTTAGGAAGGCCAAACCCTAGTTTTTGCTTCTGTCACCAGGGGGCGCAACCACAGGCTTCGGGCTCTTCCCACTTCCCACTTGAAGTTTGTTAAGATCTGAACAGAGCTGAAAAAGTATGTGCTTGGATACAAACGTCACAACAATAGAGGGATCCAGACAGGGTCTTTTACACTGGGGCTTGGGGAGGAGAGGAACAGGGGTGGGGGTGGGGATAGAGGGCTTACTAACACAGGCTTTGAGGACAAAATCCATTTCCAGCTGTATATGGTAATAAAGACCTTTAGCAAAGGTAATGTGTTGACTGTAGTTTTATTTTAATTGCACATAATTTCGATCTATCTGGGCTTCGTTCCTTGTCATCTTTTGTTGAGTGACATTAGAAAGGGTGCTTACCAAATTCTAGTCTCCTGTCTGTAAATGGGAAATACTAACCACATAACAGACCACAGGTAAGCTGATGACTGAGAGATGGTCGGCATGGGACTGAATCTATCCACTAATGGGAAATAGCAGGGTATCTCAGGCCTGGTCCTAGATTCTACTGCACAAGAGGCCCAAAAGAAAGACCTCCCAGACAATTGCTCATGCGTGCCTTTTCAGACAATAGTTCTTTATATAGCTTTTTAATTACCTTACGAAGTAGTGGACGTTCCCAAGGGCTTTTCATACATCCTTAGTATTGGATACTCTTTCCCTCTCCTCTCCTCTTCCCTTACTCCTGCCACCATTCCTGCTTAAGTCTTTAACTCCCAGTATTCCTGCTGACCTCTGCCACCTTCATTGTTCTGCCCTGCCCTCTCCCCTTAAGGTCTCCTGCCTTCTCCCTCTGGCCTGGCTTACCTTATTCAGTGCAATGCTTTCCAGTCCCATCCATTTTTTTTCCTGCTAACTTCATTTTCTTTTATAGCTGAATAAAATTCCACTATGTGTGTATCACATTTTCATTTCTCGTTCATCAGCTGATGAACATCTAAGCTGAATCCTTCGTGATTCACATGATATTTCTTCAGAACGCCCGCTAGAGCATCAAGTACCCTTCACTCAGAGTCTGATCATATAACCAGCAGCTCAAAGACAGTGGGGGGAAATAAAAATATCAAATACCCTTCATGCTCTATTTGACTGCATGAGTTAAAAACAAACAAATAAGCCCCAAACCCAACAACAATAAAGAGCCTTCTTCGCAACAGTAAACAAAGAAAAGACAATTCATGGAAGAATGTGTGACAAGGAGCAGGCAAACATCCGTGAAGATAGCTTTAAAACTTTGGAGAAGGAATCCAAACAAAGATGTAGACAGAAGGAAAGTTAAAGACATTGGTACCCAGCAGTTGTGTAGCCCCTTCCTGTCAATTTAGCAATTGCCAATAACCCCACTAAACCTTTGAATCACACAGACTAATCCTCAAGCTCCTGAATAAAGCTTTTTAACTAAGATTGTCAGAATTTCTGAAGATGAGGCCTGAGCCTAAGCTCCCCTTCTGGGCAGAGGAGCCCATTATTCAGTCGCAACAAAAGGGAGCTGATAATGGCAGATGAGCAGATGCATTGTCAAGTGGGAAAGGAAAAATCAAGGATCCTTCAGTTACTAGGGTCAGGGACTCTTGACAACTCTCTGCACATAAGCCTCACTGCACACATTACCCTAGAATAGACTCAAAATGAAGCAGAAATAGGAGGTTACAAACAAGGAGCTGTAGAGTTACTTTATCAACCCTCTACTTGAAATAAAACACAAATGCCATTTAAAACAACATAGACTGGCTGGGTGTTGGTGGATCGCATGCCTTTAATCCCAGCACTCAGGAGGCAGAGGCAGGTGGATCTCTGTGAGTTCGAGGCCAGCCTGGTCTCCAGGGCTAGTTCTAGGACAGCTAGGGCTGTTACATAGAGAAACTCTGTTTTAAAAAGCAAAAACAAAAAACAAACC